ATCCATGTGTCTCACTTTTTCCGAAAATGATGTTGTTGCAATGTCACTATCTAAATCAACCGTCCCAAAAATTGTTCACGACTAATAATTTGGGAATCAAGATATGCAACTTTTACGAATGCTACTCAATTTGCAGGTGGACATATTTCACATGTAGAAGTTTGAGGAGTTACTAGTAAAGATGACTGCATTGCTTACTAACCTACTGACTGTCACGTGTAATTACATACCCAAAGAAAGATAAAACCATGTGTGGAAATATTTTTGAACCTCGCTCCCCACATCACATGATTGTAATTGTGCTTTAATTTGACTGCCCCACTTTGTTTGACGATGACATTGTTGGAATGCCATTGTTGAAACGAGTCATCCCAACAATTGCTCAAAACTGATAGCCCAACATTCAAGATTTGGTGTTTCTCCAATGCTACTAGGTTTTTTGTTTACATGTGAATGCATTTCAGTGTGTAGAACGTCTCAGGGGTCATTAATGAGTACATTTCTTAGAAACCAACTGGTTATCACGTGTAATGACACATCAAAAGCAAGATAACATCATGTGTGGTAAGATTTTTATTAGCTTAGTATGCCAAGTCATATGACTCTAGTTGTGCCTTATTTTCCTCTGCCTTGCTTTGTGGACAGTTTAGTCTTCGGAATGTCATTGCCGAAATTAGATTCCCCGGTAAACGTTCACAACTAATAATTTAGCAGCCAAGATATGCAGCTTCACAAGCAATGCCACACCTTGCATGTGAATGGATTTGAATGTAGAACATCCAAGGAGTTATCATAAAATTGACTACCTTGCTTACTGGCCTCTTAGTTGTTATGTGTAATGACATATCCAAAGCAGTACAAAACAATATGCAGTAAGATTTTATTAATTTTCATGGTAGGCCACAAGATATGATCTAGTTCTGCGTTAATTTACCTCTGCATCACCTTTGCCTGACAGTGGCATTGTTGGATCACTATCAAAAGCAACCGTCCCATCAATTTCCCACAACTAATAAATTGACAAAAGATATGTCATTTCACAAGCAAAACTACTCATGGTGTATGTGAATGCATTTCAATGTTTAGAACATTTGAGGAATTACTACTTTGGTCACTGACCTACTAGTTGTCACCTGTATTGACATATCTAAAGCAAGATAAAAATGAGTGTGGTAAAATTAGTATGCATTTGAAAAGAGAAGAACGTAAATCCATCTTCTCTTTCACGAGTCTTTTCCTACTTTATTTTATATGGAAACATATTTTACCAAACTCGATGACATTTTGCACCACAACAAATTTGCTCACTCTCTTCAAAAAATATACTGGCATGCCAACTAGCCAAGTAACTCTAAGAGCATCATCTTATTCTAGAAAGGACATACATGACCAAACTAAATGGGTTAGACAGATAACTCACATGGGCATGTGAAATTCAAGATACATATATGAGTGTTTAAAGAGATAGGGTATCGAACTATAGATCATCATCATGCATCTATGCAAAGTTGCAACCTTCATATATTCCAATGCAACTCATCTTTGTAATTACTAATAAGCACATCTTAAGCATTAGTGCTTAATAAAACATTTCCATGAAATAAGCATCAACGTAGCATTGTTCATCTAGGTTGGGCACAACCTTACCCGCACCCATACTTTAGGGAGTATGTGATATTTTGTTGGTCTTCATGGTTAAGTCATAGTTTACAAGTTTTTATAGGTTAGTATTCATATCGCTACAAACTCGTTGTAGCCATTTTGACATGGTAGCGCATGACTTGTTTGTGGTAACATAATGGTAACCTTTTATGGCGCTTGAGGTGTATTGTATCATTATAGTTTATTACTCTTCCCTTCATGGATAGCATATCATGATTCGCCTCCAAACAAGTGTAGGCGCTGGTCTCCATTTCAGAAAATCTATCGCGTTGTTAAACCATTGATCATATTCAAGTAGCCACATCATGTCCTCCATACCATGTTGTCTTTGTGTCCTGCCCTTATACCCCCAGCTTCGATGGTTGCCGTCGTCGGATTAGTCGTCGCTCCGACAACCTTATTTTTTTAGAGAAGGGAGGGGCACTTCGACAACCTCCTAACTGTCTACAGATTCACCCCCCCCCTCCCGCCCCCACTGTCCTTGAGTTAACCTGCCAGCTAGAAACGCTTCTCGTGCATCCCTCAAGGAGCGCGGGTTCATCGATGCACTCTTGATCCATCTCCCTTGCCCAGACACACACAAAGTAAAAGAGAGAAAAATGT